GCTGAACAGGGTGGGGCAAGGGAGCAGAGGGGGCTAAGAGAGCACTGCAGTCTACAGGACAAACTCTCCCTCTTTGGGGACAAAGGGAGGCAAATTCAACAAGAAGGTCTGTCTCCTTAGCTGTGTGTAAAAAACCTTGCTTCTTCAGTTGTTTTTGTTTCTGAGCCATCACTTTAAAGAAAAATGTGAGATCTGGGCAGGTGTGGACAAGCCCCATGACCAGAAACCCCCTCCCCAGTACCCACAACCTGGCAGCCTGAAAACACGTTGAGGCAGGGAAGCTCGCAAAGCATCTCGATCTGGTGCAGTTCTAGTAACTGGGGCTCAGGAGGGTGGATTCCTGGGAAGGGATCCCACCCTTGCTCCTGTCTTGAGCACATGTCCAGATATGCCAGCCTGATAGAGTTCCTGGGGGATTAGGGGCTCTCCGGGGCGTTGGCAGGTGGTGCACCTGGGTCCACAGGCAGTTCTCAAGGTACTCGTAGATCTAGGAGCAGGCAACAGGGCTGATAGCCCAGGCAAAACTCATCAAAAGGTGACAGTCAGGCATTGGTGGGGCACAGCACAGACCTTCACAAGCTGATAGCAGGCTGTGATACACGACCAAACAGGACAGGAAAGCAGTATGATCACAATGAATGTGCTGCCAGATGCTCAAAAGTCCACTTGGTGGTAGCCTGGCCTGTGCTTCTGAAGCCATGGAATGTCCAAGTCTGGTTGGCAGCCGGCACCAAATGCACACCCTTCATCTTGGGTAATGAGATTCAGCTTGCCACACCCAGTGTGTGGGGCCACGATGAGCACAGCCAGCATGAATATGAAGCCCAGTATGTTGTGGCCTTGAAGCAGTACACCTCAAAGAGGGACTGGTCCTCCTAGTGATGACTTGTAGGTGCCTGTGTCAAAAATGGGTGGGAAGGCCACTGTCATATAGATAGGTCCAGGCCATGAAGATGATGGCAGTACACGTCCACAGCATGGAGTGCTTGGTGTAGATGCAGTGGCTTATGGCAGTCACGTGATGTTGACCCAGCATGAAGGCCATGTGGAAACAGTAGAGACTGGCCACGAGGGCCACAATCTTGGAGCTCAGTCCACGAACATGCAGAGGAGCCAGTGTGCACAGAAAAGAAAGCAGACAGCAAAGTGCTAGCCACTGGCCTGAGCCCAGGTCCACAGGTGAAAGGGGGTCTTACGTAGGCACCACATCCTAGGGCAGGACTTAGCCAGACTGGTATCCGTAGGGCCTAGGAAGGGCTTCTCTGGGCCACCTTGCTAGGCCTCCCCTGGCTCTGTAGGGCCTATCCCCCAGCAGGTAGTACTGCAGGGGGTTGGGCCACAGTTCATCTTTGATAATCTGGGCAACCCTGTCGGCCTCTGGGAGGCTGTGCTGTGAAAACCAGCTGAAGAAGCTTCGGACAGCATCCCGGTTTCTTTGTACCAGGGCCGGAGGTTCCTGGCCTCGGTGCCATCGGATAGGAGTTGCAATAGACACCACTTGCCCAGGGGATCTGCACTCATACTCCTTCACTATCACCTTGTTTCGGAAGTAGGGGTTGCTCCAAAAGCGGAACTTGAACTTGCAACCTGATCTGGCCTGCTCCCTCACCTCCAAATTCATCAAGTAGCAGAGCATGTCTTCATCTCGGGGGCTAATCAAGGCTGACAGCTGCGGGTGGTTCAGGAAGGCCGTGACCCAGAAGCCCGGAATATTCTGGATGATGAAGCTTCTACGAGCTAGGTGCAGCCTGCGCATCCGCCCCAAACTGCGCTGGAGCCCGAGGTAGGCCCTCTCGGCCTGGGCACGCACGGCCGCCAGCTCCCACTGGAGATCCACAATCAGGCCATCCAGGTTCAGGGGTGCCTGGGCCTCATGGGCCTCCGCGTTCCCCTCCAGCTTCTCCTCCCCTGCCAGCTTCTCCTCCCCCACCTGCTGCTGCTTCTCCTCCGCGGCCTGCTGCATGAAGATGGCGCCCTGCTCCGTCGTCACTTCCTCGGCCTTCCCGCAGGCTCCCGCCCGAGCCCCCCGGCCCTCTGCGCCACGGATTTCTGGGGCCTGTTTTCTGACCAGGCTGTTTTCCCGGCTTGGGGCGGCCGCCGCGGCCGCGGCTTCCCGGCGTCCGGGTGGATGCGCTGCAGTGCCGGGGCCTGCTGCGGGGTCGGCCTGGCAGCGCTCCATGGCTTCTCGGGCCCGGATCGCGGGGACCGGGCGCGCGCCCCGCTCCTGCGCAGGGCCGGGCTGCGGGCGCGCGGCGCTTCCCCGGGCTCCCGTCCCCTGCGGATGGTCCGCCATCACCTGCGGATGCCTCCGGCCGGGAGAGGCTAGCGGCGCGCGGGCAAGACTGCGGGTTCTGCGCGAGGGGCGGCGGCGGCAGGCGCTGGCGGCTGCTGCGGCTGCTGCTGCGGTGGCGGCGGCGGCGGCGACGGCGGCGCGACCGCGGGCGGGAAGCTCCGCCCCTCGCGCCCCTCACCCCCTCTGAATGTGATTCGCCAGGGTCCCTCGGCCTGGAGGCCTGGCGGAGGGGAAGGGGGCTGCCGGGCGGGGGGACGCCACCGCAGGCGCCAGGTAGAACTGTTCGCAGATTAGTCGGACGCTGTCCATGGAGGTGGGGAGAAGTGTGTGCCAAGCAAGGGGCAGCACAGAGCAGACGCCAGGAGACAGGCCCCACCCCAGTCAAGGACCAGACGCAAGGAGACAGGCCCCACCCCAGTCAAGGACAGTTATAACCTTCCCTTCACAGCCGCCAAGCTGAGCGACTGCTGTTAGCAGATCTAGGGTGGGCAGGTGGGAGTCGCCCAGCTCCCACGCTCGAGTGGTGCTTTGGGGCAGCTGTAGAACACTTGCAGCCTTGCAAGGGATCAATTACCCTGGCACTGCAGAGGGTCAAAAGGTATCCCGTGCAAAGACTGACGAGACCCAAACTGGGAGCTACAGATAATGGCAATAATTGCCAGGCACATGAAGGTGACTGAAATATTCATGTGGGGAGAATAAGCAAGGTCAGGAGTGGAAGGATCTGGGGCAAAGGACAAGGGAGGGTCTTAAACGCTGCATACCAGGGAGCAAGTGCGTATCTGCCTGGGGTTTCCCCCACAGGAGCTGGGTACTCCTGGGCTGGTTGGCTGAAACCAGGAGGACCTTGCTTCACCTTCCAGGGGTGGGGAACTTGCGGCCCTAAGGAAACATGTAGCCTTCCTGGTCCTTAAGTGTGCCCTTTTGACTGAATTCAAATTTTACACAACAAATCATTAAAAGGGGTACAGCAGAGAAAGATGAAGCTTTTCTTGCCTCCTTTGGTGCTTAAAAAAGAACAATCTTGAAATCAGAAGGCCGCAGGTTCCCCACTCCTGCCGGCTTAGGTAAGCTAAGACTAGATTGGACCAGCCTCTGTAGTCCTTATCTGTGGTCTCAGCTCCCAAACTTGTGAGGTCAGTACGCCTAATGCCCACTTCTGCCTGGAAGTCCTTGCCACCTCCTCCAGAAAGCCTTCAGTCTTCTCTTCCTTGATGGATACAACAGCTTCCTCATCTGAGCTCCCACACCTATACTGGGGTATACACCTCTGAGAGGGCAAGGTGGATTGCCTTGGGGTCCTAGCTGGGGTTCTGACCCATTGGGGTAGACAGTTGTCATTTGTCCAGTAAGCATAAGGCCAAAGAGATGAAGGGCCAACCCATTACCTTTGTACACAAAACACCTCCACTTATTGATGTCCCTCCCCATGGGATCTTGGGCTGGATGCCAAGTGCATTCCTTAGCTATGAACACTGGCTCCAGACCAGGGGAAATTGAGTTCAGTCTGAGCCCTTAATGAGAGGGTCTCAGCACAAGGGGTGGGGCCCAGGAACATGGTGTCTCCCTTTGTTGAAACTGGCCAAGCAATGGATGTCAGGTGAAGCCATGTCAGCCTCTCAACATTTGGTCTGCACCCAATGGTTGGGCACAGGTGTAAGGTCAGGTTCTAGGTCTGTCATCAGCTAGCTGTGAACCTCAAACAGTGGGTGACTATGGTGGACATCTGTCTTGTATAACCAGCATCCATTCCTCATCCTAACAGTACCCCAAATTTCCTTTGAGAAACTCCTCCTCCCCTTGTCTCAGCCTTATTCGCACTGGCTTATGGTGACTGCTTGTGGGATGGCCAGAACCCCATCAAGGCCAATGAAACACGATGCTTACTGGGGCTTTTGTGAATAAAAGGAGTAGAGTCCTCTTTCCTAAGAGCCTGGAATCATGGCAGCATTCTATTCCTACAAAAAGGGAGAACCTACTTTTTAGTGCCTAAAGATGAAGTCACAAGTACACAAGATAGGGCAGAAAGAAATAGGAAGGAATGCTAAGGCCAATCATGTTTGAGCTACTGGATCAAGCCTAACCTAAAAACTGCACTCATCTGGCATTTAAAAACAAACACTTTTTTTTTTTTTTAAGAGAGCTCTCTCTGTCACCCAGGCTAGAGTGTAGTGGATGATCATAGCTCACTGCAGCCTCAAACTCCTGGGGCTCAAGTGATCCTCCCGTCTAAGCCTCCTGAGTATCTGGGACTAGAGGTACACAACACCAGGCCCCACTAATTTTTATTTTTTGTAGAGATGGGGTCTCACTATGTTGCCAGGCTGGTCTCAAATTCCTGGCCTCAAGTGATCCTCCCTCCTTGGCCTCTCAAGTGCTGGGATGATTGGCATGCACCATTGTGCCCTGCCCTAGCATGTTCAGTTACATGAAATTTCACTGTTTAAAGCCAACTTGATTTGGGTTTTCTGACCCTTGCATCCAAGATGATTGATAGATAGGATGATGCCAACTTACCTCAAAGGCATTCAAATAAGATTTTTAATTTCAAAGTACAAAGCTTATAGGTGTTAATGGAAAGGGTTGTTACTGTCTACCCTATACTCACCATCACCTTGGATGCTAAAGATATCTGAAGATTCCAATTCTTCCCAATTCCAGGCTCTCTTCAGCCCTTTCCCAATCAGACAGGTTCACAACTTCCAAACACATCATTCAGAAGTTTTTAATAAACAACTTCATTATAAAAACTTTTGAAAATGTAATTCTGTAAAACATTGAAAAATCTACTTTAACAAAGATACGCCCTGTGCATTTTCTAATGGCACTTATATTTTACAATTAAAAACCTTGTTTTATATAAAGCCAAAAATACTCCAAGAGGTTATTCACTGTGTTTACAAAGTGCTAGAAGATTTTTGTCTTGTATTTTTCTCTTTAAATAATCTGGCATTACAAAAGAGTGGCTCCAAAGCCTTGACCGCTGGGAGGGAGGGAGGAGCATGAGAAGTGGTGTTTCAGGAGTTCTAGTGCCAAATACGCAGAGGTGGAGAGGTGCATATGGGGAGAATCAGCTAAGGAAGTCAGCTGACACACGAAGAAACTGGACTGAATTCTTCCAAACCTCTCCATGGAGGCACCAGATTAATCACGGTGAACACCCCTTTCCCCTCGCCACAGACCCTACTCTCCAGTGGTGAAGGTCACAGCCAATTCCTTCCACAGCAGGTTCAGAGCTCCAGGAGAGGCCAGGGTGGGGTCCCAGAGGAATCTGGACTTTTTCTGGCCAACACCTGCCTAAGGCAAAGTTTCTTATTACATAAATATCCTTGTTAAAAAGCAAAATATTGATCCTGTACAATATAACCTGTTAAAAAATCGTGCTTAAAAACAGCTCCTAGATAAGAGGGGAGGTGGAAAGAGGGCGGAGGAAACAGCTACCAAAAAGGGAGGGTGGGATTCAAAGGACTACTAGGGAAGGTTTAGGGTAGTAGGAGAATTCCAACTTAGGACAATATCTATGAGCAAAAAAGTAATCACACCTGCTTCCCCGGTTTCCATTAACAAAAGGTTGAAGGGAAAAATTTCATTGGTGCTCCTTTCCCTGCCTCCCACCTCTTTAAGATGGTGCAGAGATCTTTTGAGCTGATACCTGGGCATGTCATCCCTTGCACTCAGCCCTGACCAACTACTGTGTGGGGTGGGAGGTGCTTGCCCCACTGTTCAGGCAGCTCATCACTGACAGGTGCTGGAAGTGGTGGAGAAGGGGGGACATCACTCCTTTTTTCTGGTCCCTGATTGGTCTTTGCCACATGCCATGGCTCCTGTCCTGGGCAGATGTCCCTCAGGCTCTCGGGCCTCAGTAAAGTACTGAAGTGAGTCTGGGTAATGAGTGTAGGATAAAGAGACTCTTATCCTTTGAAGAACCAGGCCAATAAGGCTTTTTTTTTTTTTTTAATTTTGGGAAGGGGGGTTTAAGAAATGGCTGGGTGGCTATGGTCCAAAAAAGAGGTAAAGGCAGATAATATTCCTCTGCACCAGCAAAATTCACAGTGATGGGAAAATTCCTTGTGGGTGGTGAGGGCACTGAGGGAAGAGGAAAGGATAGAAGGAAAGAGACAGGAGTGTGTGTGGGGGGAGGCAAGAAGACAAGAAGGAGGTGGGAGTAGGTCCCAGTGAAATGGTTTTAAATAGTTGCTTTGCCGGTTCTTAGTTTCCCAGCATCTCCTATGGGGAGAAAGAATTCAAGGGAGGGACAGGAAAGAGCAGGCAGAGAGGACAGGACTCCTCTAACAGCCCAGGACTTTATATTCTGTGGCCAGAGGCCCATTTGCCTCTACAAACTGAGGATGCAGGGAAGGTGGCAGGCAAGGGAAGGAGGGTTGCTGGGTCTAGTGATGAAGACCAGATACAACAAGGAGAATGGCAGCAGCAAGTCCTACTTGGATTCTCACATACCATTTCCTATAATACGAGTCCCAATAACATGCACAGCATGCAGGAGGTGTCTGCGTACCAAGGTAGACGCTTTTTAAAATAAACCTTAACTAGTCCCTGGGACTCACTGAAACTAATTTTTAGAAGCAAATCGCCTAGTCTGATTCTAATCTTGCCAGACATTTTTATATCTGGTTTTTTTTTTTTTTAAAGGTATCCTGAACTACCCTGCCTAAATCAAAACATGCTTACTTACTCCACATTGCTTCCAATCAAGGGCCAGGGAGCTAAATTTTAAGGCTTTCACCTCAAACAGGAGTACTGGCCTGGGCTGAAGCAGAAGCCTGAGTCTTGGACCTGCTCAGTTCCTGATGAAAAACCAAAGTGAGTCTAGACAGAAGGGGCGTGGGGAGGACTGATGGGAGGCTGAGGCAGTTCCTTGGTAGTTTGTCCTGAAACCCTAGTGGAGAAGCCAGCAATAGGCACTCAGTGAGAGAAGTGCCCAGAACTTGCTGGCTGCATCTGTAGGAGTTAACAGTAAAGAGGTAGAAGTGTGTTTCTGAATCAGGTGTCTCAAGAGGGTCCCACAACGGAGGTCCCTGAGGTGCCTCCCTTCCTCAAGTGGGAAGTGCGAAGCCCATGCAGAACTGAGATGAAGCAAGGATGGGGTTCGTCTGGGTTCTGGGCAAGGGCTTTGCTGTCTGTAGCAATAGCCCCCCAAGTCAGAAGAGAACTAATCATTTGTTGCAAGAAACCTTGCTGGATATTAGGAGCAAAACCGAAAGGGGCCACAAGAAGGTTGAAGTTCTTTGATGGAGAGCAGAGAAGCCTATGCACAGTGGCCTGAGTCCATGGGGACTACAAAGTGGAAGAGACAGAAGGGACATTGTGGCTAAGAAAAAATTTGGTATGGGGGGCAACAATGTACTTAACTGCCCAATCCTAACTTTCTGAAAACTCTTCTTCCAACAATTCCACAACTTCCTGGAAAAGGGACAGATAGGAGACAGACAAACGAGGGACTCATACCCTCTCCTTTGCTATCCACTCCAACCTAGAACCCAGAGTCCCTCCTTCCAAGACAAATAACAACAGCACATGATGTTCAGGGTGGGGATTAGGGAATGGGGAGGCGATAGAAGTATGCGTGCCTTTCATTTCTTCCCCTCTCCAGTTCAAAAGGAGGACGAAGGGGTCATGATGTACTTGGAGAAAAACAGAACTGTAGACCTGTGAGAAAACTGCTCCGATCTTCTTGCCCGTCTCCTATGGACACTGCCGAGGAAGGCAGGAACAGATGCAGTCATCGAAGATGGGAGAGACTGAAGCAGTCCAAAGTCAATTTATTTCCCCACGGGGGAAAAATGTGACCTCAAGTGAAGAGAAGTCAGTAAGACCCGACTCCGCCTTGTAAACAGGGCTCCAGTTAGCACCAGGTACCAAACGGTTCAGGCTGGTGCCAACTGGAATGGACTGGTGGGAATGGATTCACGGTGTGTAAACAGTGTTCACTGCAATCATTCTAAGGCTAACAGCTTGGCAAGGGAGGTGAAATGGTGTATCTGAGGCGACTGTGTAAACGGTACCGTTGCTGGACAACACTGACTGGAAACGGAGGTGCTGGTACAGTAGGGATTGGGGTGGTCGGGAAGAACAGAGGCTCTCTCTCCTGCTCATTGGTTGGAAGCAGGTGATGGAGCCAAGTGACCTTCTACAGCAGGGCCTGACCAACTGACTGCTGTGGGGTCTGCAGGTTAGGACCAGAAGGCGGGCTTCTTGGGCGATTTCTCTTGAGGTCATCCAAGAGGAAACCCTCTGTGTCTCCAAGAGGCCTCCCCCTTCTCCAAAGAGGAGGAGGTTCTGACGCTTTGGAGAGGAAGAGGACTAAGTGTGGCTCCCGATTCAGATAAAAAAAAAGTAAAAATACCTGAAGTCCTATGATGTGAGATTTTTCACGGGGTTGGGACTCAAAGCTCCTCGTGGTATCGATCCTGGAGCCTGAACCCCTAAACCAAGTGCTCCATACAGACACTGGAATTTTTTCTTTTTGAACCCAGCTCTGAAAGCTCAGCTGCCTTCATCGGGGACACGGACGGGGTGGGTACTATGGCTCCTGGACAGAGCCAAAGACTGAGCTGAGGACCTCCGTAGGGGCTACTGGAATGCTTGGTGGAAACGAGGCAGGGTGGTGCTACTCAGGCCAGAGGTGAAGACAGGAGGCAAGGAGTGCAGAGGCCCAAAGTTCAGTGGTCCCCCAGTTCCCGGGGAATCTTGAGGCTGAGCTTGCAAAGTGGTGAGCAGGGGCTGCGCCTCAGCCTGGGAGTAGCCCATGACCAGGCCTCCTGTGGCCCCAGGTGGGTTACACGGGGGCAGGTTGAGTGGAAGAAAGCCCAGTAAGTGGGAGAAGTCCACATTAGCAGCGCAGAGGGCCTCAGAGAGGTTAGCGGGGCTCTTGGCGAGCAGTGCTTCATCTAGGAGGGCCGCAGCTGCCGCCGGCTGAGGTGAGGCGGGCTGGGGTTCAGCGGATGAGAGAGACAGGCTTCCAGGAAGCTCCGCCAGAAAACTATCCACCTCCACTTTGGGCAATTTGTCGGGCAAGTATGAGGTAGATCCAAGCTGGTATTTTGGAGGGAGCTGAGCTGGGGAAGAGATAGGTGAGGATTCCAGAGGGTAGCTCATACCCATGGGCAGCGTGTTGTGCACCAGGGAGTGTGGCACGCCTGCACTGGGCACAGTAGGGATGTGGGCGCCATACATGCCCATGGGCAGCATGCCAGGGAAGGCCTTGGCCCCCATCACGTCCCGAGAGGCCATGCACAGCACAGGACTCAGCTCTTCCTTCACGCTTACCGTGGAACTGCAGCTGAGTAGGCCTAACATGTCCACTGGCTCTGTCTTGATCTTGAGCAGCTCCTGCGAGTGGCTCTTTTTGACATGACGCGTCAGGTGGTCTTTGCGGCCGAACCGCTGGGCACAGTACTGGCATAAGAAGTCCTTACGGCCTGTGTGCACCACTAGGTGCCGCCGCACATCCTTACGAGTATAAAACCGGCGGTCACAGTGGTCACAGGGGTGCTTCTTCTCCTTGGCACCACCTGCTACCCGGCGTGAGTGGGCCTTCAGGTGCTCTAGCAGGGCCTGGGTACTCTCAAAGGTCTGCAGGCACACCTTGCAGCTCAGGTCACCGCTGCTGGCAGCATGCATGGCCAGGTGGCGCCGGTAGCCCAGCTTCGTATTGTAATTCTTACCACACTCAGAGCAATGGAGGGCCTCTTTGTTAGGGTCATGAGTCTGCAGGTGGTTCCGCAGATGGTCCTTGCGGTGAAACATCTTATCACAGTACATGCACTGGTGGGGTTTCTGGGCTGAGTGGGTGGCCATGTGCCTGGGGATAGGGAAGGGGGATGGGGAGAAACCAGAAAAGAGGGAAGATCATAAGGGCTGAATGGACGACCAATGTGTCCATTAACAGGAAACTAGATACACAAACTACGGTAAAGCCATGCAATAGAATACCATGCCAACTATATTCTAGAGATATCCTTGGCCACCTGCAAAATCATGTATGTACTGCTATTCTTAGCAGCATCATTTGTGGTAGAAAAAAAATCAGAAACAATCAGAACATCCAATGAATAGGGAACTGGTTACATAAATTATATCTATGAAATGATTCAATTTTTTTTAAAAAATGAGGCAGCTTTATATGTACGTATACAGAACAAACTCCTAAGAGATATAATAAGTGGGGAAAAAAGCAAAGAGGCAGAATAGTGCCTGTAGAATAGTACTCAGTATGTAAAAAGGGGGAAAATATTTGTGACATTTGCTTATCTATGCTTAACATTTCTGGAAGGATACACAAGAAACTGACATGACTGGCTGCCCACGTAGAAAAAACTAGACAGCTTCTAGGTGGGTATGATAAAGAATTTTCATCGTATAACTTTAGGTGCCTTTTTGAATTATGAATTATATGAATGTATTTCCTTTTCAAAAAGTTACACTTAAATAATTTAAAATGACATGAGAGAAAATGAAATTTATCTATACTTTCTGATCTAGAATGAATTCCTCACACAGTGGTGTCCTGTAAAAAAAAGAAAAAAAAAAATAGAATGAATTCCCAAGATATATAGGGCTAAGTCAAAAAAGGAAGTTCAATAAAGTGTATGTAATATAATCCCTTTTAAACATAAAAAGGGAAGGGAAGACATGTTTGAATGTCTCAGGAAGGATACACAAGAAACTAGCCCCAGTGGCTGCCTTTAGGGAGAAGAACAGTAGCTTCAAGTGTAAGGACAACTCATTTTTCACTGAACGACCATTTGTACCATTTGAGTTGCTTGCCACGTAAACTAGTAACACATTAAGAAATGTTTTAATGGTATGGCACCTCAGTGTCCATTGGTTTACCTGCTGTCATCTGGTTGGAAAGCAGCTCCAAATGCAGGAACTGCAATCCACAACTTCACAGTGCATTCAGAATCGACTCAGCAGCCACAGTTTGCCAGGCCCTGCATAAGCTGTCATTAACCTTGTCCTCCAGAAGAGGAGGCTGAAGCACAGGACAGCCCCACCTATCAGTCAGTAAGTGGCAGAGGCTGGATTTAAACACAACCTTCTTAAGACTTGAGTTCACTCAGATATGCCACAGCTGTCTCTAGTATAGCACCCAGTGGTCTTTTCTACCTGGAGGGTATCAAACATTACCCTCATGCTACATGTGCATGCTCGAGTTCTCATGGCGATGTGGGTTGCTATCAACCTCCTAAGACATAACTGACATGATAACATATAAAAGGGAGATGCTGAGTCATCTACAGTCCATTTCCCTCATTTTGCAGGTGAGGAAACTGAGGCCCAAAGAGGTTTAGTAACTCACCTAAGATCACACAGTAAATTACAGGGTGGAGTCAGGGCTCCTGCCTCCTGGACCAGGACCTTTCCTGCAGCATCCTAAAGGCACCCAGACCATCACTAAGAAAGTCTAAGAGGATGGCCCTGACTGGAGTCCCCTAAGACATAGGAGCACACGGAGAATGAAAGCATTCCTGAGGATCGCAGAACTGTCACGAGGGCAATCCTAACTACCACACTACCCTGCCGCCTATTTTAGTTCCTTCCTATCAAGTGTTTTCCACATGAGGAACTGAGGCTTTCTGTGGTCATCCTGTTCATGTATTTACTTGTTTACTGTCTGCCCACACCATTAAGACCATAAACTCAAAGAGGGCCAACACCTCCTCTGTCTGGCTCACTACTCTGTCCCTAGCACCGAGCACTGTGACTAGTACATAGCCGGAGCTCAATAAATAATAGTTGAATAGATGAATGGATGGTTGGATGATTGCACATCAGGCTGGTCTATCTCATTTGTAAAGGGCAAGTTCATGATTCCTCCAATAGAAAGGCAAGGATAAAATCAAAATTGCTTTCAACCAGGCCTCTGTCCCCCACCAAAGCAACCAAAGCTGCTCTGCCTTATCTACACAAGGGCTTTCACATTCTGTTTCGCTTTAAGTAGCAATTCTTGAGCTTTCATGTTTCATAAAAGCAGCTGGCCCGGGGGCACCAGGGAGATAGACATAATCACCTGGGTAGCAGGCTGATTCAGTGGAAGAGGCACTGCAGGACCTAAGATGCTATGTGATCTTGGGTAAATTATGTCCCCACTCTGAGCCTCTACTTTTAAAATTTACAGACCAGAGGGTCTACTTTTAGTCCTGAAGTTCTAAGACTGATTCATAATTTCTGGCTAAAATTCTAACCACCACCTGACAGGGGTGGGAAAAGGAATACTGATAAAAATGTTGAGTCTAATTTGTTCATGGGTACCTCATATTGTAGCCACCAGGTAACTAGTGTCTGAATCAAGTGATCTGAATACTTTTTAGTGAGTGATATCAAATATTTGGTGTTTAGGATACACTTCTAGGACAAATTAACCTTCACTCTTCTTAACACCAGTCTTCCCACATTCAGCAGGGTGTCTCTGGCTTTGTCTTCTGGAAATGTCAGGGCAGGAAGAAGTATGAGAGTGTCACCTACCTATACAGCTTGTATTTGGAGGCAAAAGCCTTGCCACAGTGCAGCTGAGGGCAGCTATATGGTCTCTGTTCTGGATGGGGGAGGCTGTGAGGCCTCAGCTTCTCCCCATTTGAGAAGGGTGTCCCCGAGATTTCACATTGGCACTTCACTTGACTCTCTGCCTCTCGGCCCCGAGGCCTGGGAACTAGTTTCCAGCCCACTTCCTCCTCCTGCTTTGCATCTTGAATCCAGGGGGGGACGCTGGTGAAAAATGTGGTCATGGCAAGGCTAATGGCGAAGGGCCATGTTAATCAGAAAGCCTCCCCATCAGCTTCACACGGACTCTCTGCTCTGTCACAGCCTTCAATGCAGCCTTCAGAAAACAATCTTTTCACCTGAAACACAGAACACCTGGTGTTAGGGAGCCTAATACAATGAGAACATAGGCCCTGGAGGCAGACAGATCCATCCCATTTCAACCCCAGCCCTTTTATTTAGAAGCTATGTGACTTCCAGCCAGTTATTTACTTTCAGCTAATTACTTACTTCTCTGGCTATTTCCTCATTTATAAGATGGACATAATAATCTTCTAAATCACACAGATGTTTTAAGGATTAAATAAGATCATGAATATAAAGCATTCAGCAAAAGCCTAGGCACACAGTAAGTGCTTTGTGGTAACTATTATTACTACTACCAACTAGGCCAATAAGAAATGAAATAATGGCCGGGCGCGGTGGCTCACGCCTGTAATCCTAGCACTCTGGGAGGCCGAGGCGGGTGGATTGCTCAAGGTCAGGAGTTCGAAACCAGCCTGAGGAAGAGCGAGACCCCATCTCAACTATAAATAGAAAGAAATTAATTGGCCAACTAATATATAGAGAGAAAATGAGCCGGGCATGGTGGCACATGCCTATAGTCCCAGCTACTTGGGAGGCTGAGACAGGAGGATTGCTTGAGCCCAGCAGTTTGAGGTTGCTGTGAGACAGGCTGAAGCCATTGCACTCACCCTAGCCTGGGCAACAAAGTGAGACTCTGTCTCAAAAAAAAAAAAAAAAAGGAAATGAGATAAGCTGAGAAACTAAAAGACTTAAAACTTCAAACTTTCTCTTCTGGACCTCACTTTTATATCCTTTCCACTAAACCTAGAGATAGCAGTTCCTCCTCTTCCTAATTACCCTAGCACCTCTTCATCCACTACTTTCCACAATTTTCCTCCTCATGGAGGTGCGAAGGAGCAATAAAATGCCCAAAAGGCAAAAGAGAAGGAAGGAGAAGCCTTTACTTAGGAAATTTACTTGCTGGAAAGTCAGCCCCTGAACCAGATGTGTTTCTTAGTAGTGCATCAACATCAGTAGGTTCTATCTGAGGTGGTAATAGCAGACTCTTAGCAACCAGTACTGGTCCCATCCTCACCTCTGAGTCTTGGGGCCCAAACCATGCTGCTGCTGCTTTTTTTTTTTTTCTTGAGACAGAGTCTCGATTTGTTGCCTGGGCTAGAGTGAGTGCCGTGGCATCAGCCTAGCTCACAGCAACCTCAAACTCTTGGGCTCAAGCGATCCTCCTGCCTCAGCCTCCTGAGTAGCTGGGACTACAGGCATGCACAACCATGCCCAGCTAATTTTTTGTATATATTTTTAGTTGGCCAATTAATTTCTTTCCATTTATAGTAGAGACGGGGTCTCACTCTTGTTCAGGCTGGTTTCGAACTCCTGAACTCGAGCGATCCGCCCGCCTCGGCCTCCCAGAGAGCTAGGACTACAGGCGTGAGCCACTGCGCCCGGCCTCAGACCATGCTTCTTTAGCAACATTCCAAGGTGCTGAGTGCTCCCCTACAGACCCTCAGAGTACATACAGATGGACTTCTCCATTATGAGCAGGTTAACATACTTGCATTGTAATTTAGTCTTCACCACCATACACTGATTCTTTGAGGACTCAAATCACATCTCTTTCATCTCCACATACCTAATATCTAGAAAAGGAATCTCAACTTTCTTTTAGATAAGTAAATCAGTATTGAATACAAGTTGATTCTCAGAGACTAACTTATGCCCAGGAAGTTCTGGCTAAAACCAGGTTTGCAGCCCTTTCAAAGTGGAGAGCCAAAATCTTGAGGTCTGATTACTTCTCTTGTTGGGGGACAGAGGGACTGATGTAAGGTGACACAAATTCTTTCCTGACACCAACTCAGAGAAAGAGGATGGGAGTTATTGTACTGCCTCTCAAAAGGGGACAACAGACCTTCATTCATACTCACAAACTTACCACAGATTACCAAAATGCAATACAATCTACTTAACAGGGGATTCCCTTTGAAGATATGCCAAAATTTGGTCATGAAGCTCTTCCATGTGAAGAGAGAACAGGGTGTCTGGGGATTGTCCACCAGAATCTGGGGAGGGCTCCAACTGCACAAACTAGTTGTGGGCCACAGAATGCTTGCTCAGCTCATTAGCACCTGCTGCTTACAGTGACCATTCATCCAACAGACTGGCCGTGAACGAGATGATGGGATCAGCGGGTTCATGCCCCAGAGAGCTTTGCTCATCATCAACATGAGCTATATCCTGTTCAGGAACCATTCCTCTTGTTGAAGAAACATTGCAATGTAACATGATAAACATTTCCCCATCACGAGTAGAGATTTGCCTAGAAAGATCTGCATAAAGGTGACTGCATTTTGCATGAATCACATGCTGGGAGGAGTAGGTAGCACTAAAAACTAGTCCCACTTGAGCCTTCAAGTCTTCATGGCATATTTGCCTACTTCACTATAAACCTCAAAGGCCTCTGATGTCTAGCTTTCATTGTTTAAGTCCCCTCCTCCTTCACAAGGGTGGAATTACCTGTTTATAATACCAGTGATTACTATGCACCTTGGAATTGGGAAGAGTGAGCTCAAGTATGCATGTTTAGTTTGGAAGGAATTACTCCTATCTTCAAAGTCAAATTCTGCTCCCCCTTCATATCTGAAATCATGCATCTCAGCCTCTGGAAAGTTGGGAATGGCAGTAGAAGGAAACAAGTCACATCACTTTGGCTGATGTGACAGGGTAGCCTAGCCCTGGAAATTCCACACAAACTCAGAAACAGAACAGTATGTCCCCACCTCCCACACATCCACCTCATCTGTTCTCCTGAACAAGCACAAACAAGACACAGCAGTTTAGCACACTGCTACTGAAAGAGTGAGTAATGGGCTTCTAGGAAAGAGGCTGGTGGTGGCTAAGAAGAGGTCACGAGGTTGTACTGATAGAACCAAAGGAGGAAAGTGGCAGCCATGTGCTTGCCTTGATCTGCATTTAATGGGGATATGGCCTTAAAAAGAATCCTTCTGGGGATCTAGTCTGTCCTCTGTCTCCCTCTGCCCTTTGCCTGCAAACTCCTCTCTTCCAAAAGATTCTTGGATTTGTCTCACATAATCAGAAGGCCTGTTCCTTCAGACTTCTCCTTCCTCAGCAAAACTGAAAGAATTCTACTTCTCGTTCAAAGCTGCTCTTCTGGTCTCACATTCTAACCTTAACAACTATAGAGAAGCTGACAGAACCTGTTTCCATAAAACAAACACAATCCCTCCCAGTTACTGGTGTAACTCAGTATATTTTCAGCCTAAGATTCTTTCTGGTGACTGATCTGAAAGGGGAGGTAGCAAGGAAAGAACCTTGGACTTGCTATCAGAAAAGCTGCCACTTACTGGCTGGGAAACCATGGGCAGGTTACTTTATTTCTCTGAACCTATTTCCTCAATTTCTAAAATAGAGATTTATTCTCCTTACCTATAAGATTCTTACAGAGGATTAAGTGAAATAATGCTCTTGTAAGCGTCTGACATAAAATGTATGCAGAATACATGCCGTGCTCTGAGGTCTGCCTCTTTTCCGCATAAGGCTTGAGTAGTACTTCTTTTCCCCCCTTCAATGTTACTTCTCAGGGCTCAGAGTGAGTTTACTTCCTTTCCCAACATCTCCCCAGAATGCAGTCTTCCCCTTTTCCCTTACAACTAACCCCCAGCACATCCCCTCTAACCAGCCTCTTACTTTACCTTCCTCCAGCACCATCTCCTGGGCCAGAGTTCTCTCTTGCCTAGATAGCCACTTTCTTATACCCTCTTCTAATAAGGCTCAGTACCCCAAATAGGAATGCTGGCTAAAAACTACATATGACCCTGGTTGGAAGCTCAAACAGAGACATATTGCTCCTAGCTTGTCCGTCTTCTGTTGTATGCCATGATGCTTGCTGCCCTCTGATGAAACTATAGTTTTTATGGTGTTACATCATCTCTATAGAAACTGCGTTCTTTCTCCATTATTAGCCTATTTCCTCATCTGTAAAGCTAAAAATACTTACCTCACAGGCTTGTTGTAAGGATTATTTTAGCCAGGTATGCAAAGGGCTCAGCATAAGGCTTGGCTTGCTATAAGTGCCCAACAAAAGAGAGCTATTATCTTTGTCTTTGTATTGAGTTGCATGTTCCCACCTTCTGCCACACTCAAAATCTCACAATTCTCTCCCCCACCAAAAAAAAAAAAAAAAAAAAAAAAAGAAAAACTACTGAGAGATAGCACCCCTGCAGCAAGGAAAGGGTTAATCTCTGAGTGTTCTTAACTAAAGAGACCCACAGAGGATTAACAGCTCCACTTCAGTGACTACCCTAAAATAGCTTTTATCCCTCCTGCCCAAGAACTACTTGGGGATCTGAAGAACTCAATTCAACACCTGCCAGAGGAAATACACCCAGGAACTTCTTGGGGTAGAATCTTCCCTTAAGCAGAACCCAAAATAGCAACTGGGAAACTATAAATAGACTTAAAGAAAAAAAAAAAAAACAGGTCCTGACCTGGGTACTAGAAAGAAACAAATCCAAAAGACACACTGGTTGACTGGAAAACAGTGAGAAGGAAAGGGGGGAATGGGAATGCTGCCCCCCTCACGCATGCCCGCTGGCTCGCTCGCTCGCTCTCTCACACACACACACTCCAGAGTGGTGGGAGAATTAAATTACAGGGAGGCTGGAGAGTCTCAATGACTTGCATCATTCCAAGAAACATCAAACAGGATTAGCAGGGGTTAGATTTACTCTCAGGCTGCTAGTTCTTCTGTCAGTGTAGATGGGCCCTCTTTGGAGTCCCTTTGATTCACTATTTCCTCAGATTCCTGCTGCCTCCCACTACTGGGGAGGCCTTAAGCAAATGGCTGCAACTCACCACAGCAACATTTTCACAGAGAGGAAACCTGATTAGACACCCCTGTTCCCCCCAATTTGGTGGCCTCACCTTAATTAAGACAGAAGGAGTAGAAACCCAAGGCTAAACTCTATCACAGTCCAAGGCTGACAGGTGGAAAAACACACAAGCCAGGAGACACGCTACACTTGCAGGTGAGAGCACCAATTCCCCCATGCAGCTGTCCCCTTTTCCCCACCAAGCTGGGACACAGCATGGGACTGGATTTGCAGGAAACAGCCTGGCTCCCAGCCAGCTTCTGGACCACCCCACTGTGTGGTGGGAAAGGTTAAATTTCCCCCCGATTGTAGAGATGGCAGTGGACCGGTGCTGGAGAAAGAAGGGAAATTCAGGGAGGAGTCTGGAAGGGATCTCAGGGATGGGAAAGAAGAGCAAGTATGGTAAGGAATCATGAGCAAGGTATCTGGGTCTCTAAGGGACCCCCTAAAGAAAGAGATAGGGAGATTCTACCGGCTGGAGGGCTCCAGGGGTTGAAGATAGCTAGATAGCTGAAGATAGTCTGAAATTCAAAGGTAACCGGATGGAAGATGTCTGAAGTTTGGGAATATGGTCATTGAGTAGGGAACTACAGGTAGGGCTTATTCGGGTTCTCCAGACCCAGGTATTTGTGGGAAGCCTCAAAAGGGCTTCGGTAAGTTTGGAAAACGAAACAGGGTAAAGAGCGGATCTTCTGGAGCAGGAAACGGGGTTAAGTGGGTCTGGGTAGGCGTGTCTGAAGGAGGGAGCAGGTGCAGCTTATCTGCGTCCCCCAGACCCAGGTCTCTGGTAAGGTCAGCAACGCGTTATCTGGGTCTCCAGGGAACCTGGGGGTCGGGAGTGGGGGACTCTCAGGACTGCGTCTCAGGATCTCGAAAGAGAGGGGGCTAGTGGGGCTTCTTCGGGTTCCCCAGACACAGGTATTGGGTCCAAGGAGAGTTTTCGTCACTCTGGGGCCTATCTGGGGCCGGGTTGGCTCAGGCTGGGCCCCCAGTTCGGGGTGTGGGCGACCGCGCTGAGGGGCCCGAGATGAGGGGCGCCGCCGCTCCGCGTACAGGGCGCGCGGACGCAGCGAGACGGCCTCCCGCCCCACTCCCCGCCGTCCCCCGGGGCCCTCGCCGGCACTCACCGCGCTCGGGGTCCCGCGCTGCGGGCCGGGCCGCGCTCGGGCTCCGCCAGGCCAGCTCAGGCCCCGGTAGTGGCGGCGGTCGGGCCATTGTGCGGTGCATTGTGGGAGCTGCGCGAGCGGGCACTCGGGCCGCAGGGGGCGGTGCCGCGGGATCTCTATGGTCCCGCCCGCCCGCGGGCTAGAGGGGCCCGGGCGACGCGCGGGCGGCGCGCAGGGACAGTCGGGAGCGGGGCGGACGCTCGCGTCCCTCCTTACCCCCCATCCTCCGCCCAGCAGCGCGCTGGGGCTCCGGAGCCGACATGGGCGCCGCCGCGTGGGCACTGCTGCCCCTGCCACTGCGTATGTCCCTCCTGCTGCTGCTTCTGTCGCTCCCGGGACTGCCCGCGGGCTCCTGGGACCCGGCTGGTTACCTGCTCTACTGTCCCTGCATGGGTAAGGCCTCCCGAGCCCTCTGCTCACATGGAGAAACTGAGGCCTGGAGAGGAGAAGCCACTCTTCTGAGGCGCCCAGAGACACTTGACAGATCCAGGAGAGAACCCAAGAGCAGGGCAGAGCCTTCTCTTCTCTTCTCTGCCCTAGTTGCAAGGGCACAGAGAGGCCGCTGTGTTTAGCTTTCCATTTGACAGATGAGAAAACTGAGGTTGGGAGAGGTTCCGTGACTTGCTTGAGGTCTAAGCCAGCCTAGAGTCCAGTAAATGGAGTTAGTGGGGCAGGACTTGATGTCACTGATCCACGTTGGCTCCTGGCGATTTTTCATTCATTCAGCAAATATTTATGGGGCACCTAGTCTGTGCCTGTATTCCCACTGTGCTGTATAAGACAGGTAAACCCTATACCCTTGTAGAGCCTTCATCTGTCTTCATTTGGGAAAGACAATAAAGGGTAAATGTAATAAATAAGTACATAATTTGGTAGATGATGAATGCTATAGGAAAATTAAAGAGAGCAGGGTAAGGGAGAATCTAAGGGCCACTGAGAGGTACAATTTAAATGGGGTGCAGTGGATCATCATTGTAAAAGTCATTCATTTTTAAAACCCTCCAATGGCTTCCAGACTCCTAACCATGGCCTTGAGGCCTTGCATGGTTTTCCTATCCCCTATCTCCACAGCTCCCTTCTTCCCTGATCTTCTATCTAGCTCAGCCACACTTAGCTCCTTTCTGTTCCTCACACATACTCAGGTCCTCTGGCTTGTGCTGTTGCAGGTGCTATTCCCTATACTTGGACTGCCCTCTCCTTCACTTCTGCCTGACCAACTGCTTCCCATCCTTCAGATCTCAGATTAAATGTTACCAGAAAGGACTTCACTGACCTATACTCAAGTCATCTCCTCATAATTCCCCATCACTAAAAGTTTTCTTTCTCGAAATTATTAGATTTAATTACTATATATTTGTTTACATGTTTAACATCTACCCAGCTGGACTGGGAGTGCCTTGAGGGCAGAGACCTTGTCCTTCTTGCTCACTCCTGTGTCCCAGCATCTGGCCTACAGCCTGACACATTGTGACCTCTCAATAATATTTGCGGAATGAATGAGTGGATCCTTGTTGGGATTAACAAAAAGAATCAGACAGGGTCCTTATCCCTGAGGCATTCACAGGCTGCGGAAACAGCCAGTACAAAGGCCAGGAAGTATGAAAAGACATTTGAGGAAAATAGAAGAATGTATGTAACTCAAATCCAAGGTAGGAGGCAGAGGAGGAAGAGTGAGTATGGCAGAGGGTTGGTGAAAGGGTCTCAGTGAATGAGGCGTTAGAATTGCCCCTTCACCTGCAGGCGAATGGAGATAGAGATGGGGGGGCACTCCTGGCTGAGGGGACAGCAAGAGCAGAGGTATGAGGTGGGGGTGGGAATTATAGAGCATGTTGGGGAAACAGCAAGGAACCTGGAGTGGCCAAGGCAGTTGGAGCAGGACGTGAAGGGCCGTGGGTCTCAGACCCAGGAGTCCAGACTTGCTTTCATGCTGCTGGCTCCCCTAGCTCTCCTTGGTGTCCCAGCCTTCCCCACCCCTGGCTCCACGTCCTTTCTGAGCCCTGCATGCCCCATGCCCTTAATGCCCCAGGCCTCACCTCACCCACAATGTACCATTTCCAGGGCGCTTTGGGAACCAGGCTGATCACTTCTTGGGCTCCCTGGCATTTGCAAAGCTGCTAAACCGCACCTTGGCTGTTCCTCCTTGGATCGAGTACCAGCATCACAAGCCTCCCTTCACCAATGTGAGTACTTGCCACTGACCTTGGCCCTGTCTGCCCTTCCCCAGTCTTACCTGCTTCTGCTTCGCCCCCAAATCCTTCTCTGGGCTTTACCTCCCACTCCTCTGAGCTCACTCTACCTCCCACCCACAATTGTCTTCTCTGGAATAACAATGGCTAACGTTCATTCAGCACCTGCTGTGTGTTGACACTGTTCTGAGCACTGCATGAGAATTAGCTCATTTCACCCTCATCATTTCCCTGTGAGGAAACTGGGGTTTAGAGACATTAGGTAACTTGCCCAAGATCATACAACTTGTGAGTAGTGGAGCTGAAATTCAAGCACATGTCTGACTCCAGAGCCTGTAATTTGAACCTAAAGCCTCCATTTCCAGCCCTGATCGAGCCCACCTTCTTTGCATTCCATCAGATGCTATTATCAGTTTTAAAGGAGAAACAGAGGCACGGGTTAGTTAACAAGGTGTCCAAGGCCATGACCCAGGCAGTCTTGCTGCAGTGCAGCCTCACCCCATCAAGGGGCTCCCTTGTTGTGGTAACTCTCTGCATCCTCTAGTTCCTTGCTTATACTTTGTGTCCTCTAGTAACCCTTTGTCTGTCTTTGTTCACATTGTGTCCCTAGGGGCCTGATAGGGGGAACTTAATTAATCTTTGATGCATTGACTTAACAATTTTTGAATAGATATCAGAAATTATACTCAATATGTACAAAACACTTCATTTCATTGTTACAACCTTTTCTCTGCATAGGTTTTATTTTTCCCTTTGCATTTTAATATTTAAAGAGGTTGCTAACAGAGGTTAAAAGCCAGAGTACTTGAGATCCTAGGCTGCCTTGGCCACTTACTAGTCGTGTGGCCTGGGCAGGGTACTTTGCCTCTTTGTGTTTCAGTTTCGTTTTTTTTTTTTTTTTTTTTTGAGACAGAGTCTCACTCTGTTGCCCAGGCTAGAGTGAGTGCCGTGGCGTCAGCCTAGCTCACAGCAACCTCAAACTCCTGGGCTCAAGCGATCCTCCTGCCTCAGCCTCCTGAGTAGCTGGGACTACAGGCATGTGCCACCATGCCCGGCTCATTTTTTCTATATATATTAGTTGGCCAATTAATTTCTTTCTATTTATAGTAGAGACGGGGTCTCGCTCTTGCTCAGGCTGGTTTCGAACTCCTGACCTCGAGCTATCCGCCCGCCTCGGTCTCCCAGAGTGCTAGGATTACAGGCGTGAGCCACCGTGCCCGGCCGTGCTTCAGTTTCTTTACCTTTAAAATAGGCTGGTAATAATTATTGCTACCTCTCATGGTGAGGATTGAGTGTGTTAATGATGGTAACATGCCTTGAACATTGTCATATTCCTCCCTCTTAGAATCAATTGAGCTTATCCATGTAAAGAGCCAAGGACACAGGAAGTCCTCAGTTACTGGGAGCCATTGATGTTCTGATTTTTTGCACTTAGCTGTTGTAGTTTAGATATTGCCTATCTATGTCCCTATGGCTCCTTTGCCTTCTGTCTCCTTGCCTTCCTAGCCAGTTGTCTCTCTGAGACTCCACTTCCTTTCTTTCTATGGGTTACTAACCTGCCCTAGTTAGGCTCCCCTTCCCTACTGTGATTGTTTTCACTGAGGTCACCAGGAAACTCAGAATTGCCAAATCCAGGGGTCATTTCTTAGTCTTTTTCTCACTTGACCTCCTAGTGACACCTGGCCCCATGAACCTTTCTCCTTCCTGAACTTCCCTCTTCCCCTGGCTTCTGAGACATCAGTAGTTTCTGCTATAGTCCTGACTTCTCAGCACTGTAGCAGGGGCTCTTTTCTCTCCACCCACTGTTTAGATGTTGGTGTTCCTTCCCTTTCTGTGTTTATTAGCTGTGTGACCTCAGATGAGTCATCTAGATTCTGTATGCCTCAGTTTCTTCATAAGTAAACTGGAGATGATTATTTTCCTACCTCTTAAAATTAGATGAGCAAATCTATGTAAAGTGGTCAGTACAGCAGATGGCACTAAGTTAGCATGCAGTAAATATTAGTTGCTATTATTACCATTACTTACTTTGCTATACATTTTGATTCTGTGGCTTTCATTATTCACCATGTACCTCCCAAATTTATCTGTAGCCTAGACCAAATTTATCTGTAGCTCTGACCACAGGCCTACATTTCTGACTCATAGACCCTTGAGTCCACTTGGATGTCTACAAGATATCTCAAATTCCCAAAGCCAAAACTGAACTCAGCATCTTTCCCCTCAAACCTGTGTCACCATCTGTATTCCCAGCCTTAGTTTATGTCCCCTCCATTCACCAAGTGGGTGAGTACCAAGTGGGGAACTTGGTACCAAGTGAGGAACCCAGAGATCATGCTAAATGGCTGCCTTCACATGCACACACAACCCCCAAACCCTCTGTTTCACCTTTCTTTGCATCTTCTGCCTGTCCCTGCCTCTCCACTTCTTGCTTAGATGTGTGGGAAGTGCCCAGTAAATACATGTTGAATGCATATTTGACAAATAAAAGGACCATTGCAGTGGCCTCCTAATTCTTCTCCTTCCTCTAGTCCTACCATCAATAACATCCTCTTCTCTGTCACCAGAGCGATCTTTCAAAAAGGGCAAATCTCTTATTATTTTTGCTTAAAATCCTTCAGCATGATACCTCATTGCTAATAGTTAAGGTACCTAAAGTCTGTTCGTTGGAATGCCAATAGCTCATGAAGGAAGGTGAGTAGTTAAATCAGCTGGGGAAATTATATTCTCAATTTTCCATCCTCCTAAATTTGTAGATTCCCAATGCATTAGCATGTTAAAGGCCCTGAGAAGTCCTGCAGTAAAGAAACCAGCTTAAAACAGCATTTCCCAGGCCTCTCTAACTCTGAAGACTTTTGTTTTTTGCAGAACCCTTTATCCAACTGAACTAGTGGAACATGCTTGGAAAACCCGGACCTGTAGAATAAAGTCCAAATTTTGTTTCATGGTATTCTAAGGAATTTTTTAAAATCTAGAAAAATACAAAGGTGAATACAACCAGCATCCATGTACCCACCACTGGAAGTGATAATCATTAACACTTTCTCATCTTTGCTTCATCTTCTCTGTTTGTTAATAAAAGAAATAAAGCGTTCCAGATAAGTTGATGAAAAATAAAGTTTCTCTTGGCTCCTGTGGCTAATCCTAGTGCCTTAACCACTATCACAGATTTAGTGTATTTGGTGTGACTCCTTCCAAGTTCTTATACTTTCATTGTGGCACCAAACATCCTTGTACCCATCTTCTGGTGCAAAATGCAAGAACTTCCCTAGGGTAAATACCCAAAGGTCCAAGGAACATTTTAAATTCTACTGACAGGTTACATTCCTAAGTGATTGCTCCAGAATGTACACTTGTACTACCAGCCATGTATGAGAGTGCCCATTTCCCCATATCCTTTCCAACAATTAGAGTTAAGCTTTTAAATTTTTGTTGGTCTCAAGGATGAGAAGTGATGCCTTGTTATAGTTTTAATTTGCTTTTTCCTAAATACTGGTGAGGTTACACATCTTTGAGCGTATTGGCTATTTGAATTTCCTTTGCTGTGAGTTGTTTACCCCTGACCCCTGGCCATAATTTCTATTGACATCATTTGTCTTTTTTTCTTATAGATCAGCAGGCATTTTTTAATATGAGGGATATGACTATTTGTCTTTTAGTATGCAGATATCTTCTCCCAGGCTGTCTCTGTCCTAACCTTGGTGTCTTTTGACAAAAGTTTTTCATCGTCATATAGTCTGAGCTGTCTTGGTCTTGGAGTGTATGGTTTTAATAAATGTCTCTAAAACATCCAGTAGGACACCGTGGAGGGACATCAGCCCCTCCTTTTCCTCCTTTCCCTGTAGCTCCATGTGTCCTACCAGAAATACTTCAAGCTGGAGCCCCTCCAGGCCTACCATCGGGTCATCAGCCTAGAGGACTTCATGGAGAAGTTGGCACCTACCCACTGGCCCCCTGAGAAGCGGGTAGCATACTGCTTTGAGGTGGCGGCCCAGCGAAGCCCTGATAAGAAGACGTGCCCCATGAAGGTGGGTCCCTGGGATTTGGAGGCCCTTTCTGCCTATTTGTTATACTCTAGGCCATGGGGGCTTTATGATGGTACCATGTGGGGAAAGGCCCAGGAAGGGTTTAGCATAGAAAGATGGAGATGTAAGTACTATTTCTGGCATTTGTCAGCTGTGTCACCTTGGGTAACAGACTTTCTTCTCTGAACTTCTATTTCTACCTGCAAAATAGAGATGCCAGTTCCTGCTCTGTCTCACACACAAAGTGTCATGAGGGTCAGGTGTAAGAGTGCTTATAAACTGCAAAGTGCCATATCAGTAATAATAACTAATACTCACATAGCACTATGATATGTCAGACACCATGCTAAGAGCTTTATGCATATTAACTCATTTAATCCTCAAACTACTCCATGAGGAAAGCACTAACAATATCCCCATTTTATAGAAAAGACACTGAATATGGCACAGAGATGTTTAGTATTTTACCCAAGGTCACACAGGAAACAAGTAATGGAATTGAGATTCAACCCTAGGTCATTTGGCTTCATTGTCCACCCTCTTAACTTGAATACTTTCCTACCTCTTGACAGGTAAATGAGAAGTTGTTGTATTTTACTAATAGAAATTTATAAATTTCTGGCACTTTGGGAATAAGACAATCCCCAGATATGTCTTTTAGTGCATGTGCTAAAGTCTGGGGAGAGTGGTTAGAAAAGCTGGAAAGGAGACCTAGTTCACAGCCCCAACACTGCCCTCAACTGCTGTGAGACCTTGGACTAGTATCTTACCCTCTCTGAGTCTTGGTTTATATCTGGAAAATGAGGGCATTGAATTAGCATTTGTAGGTCTCTTGAAGCTTGAGTTCGTGGTTCTGAATCTAAGATCCACTCCTCCCCAGACCGCCCCCAGTGCTGCAGGGTCAGCGGGGTGTGGCATGTGAGTGGGAAAGACTCCTGCAGACACTGTGGTGAACAACTGCTAGAAACCAGAATTGAGGCAAGGCATTTTCCTCAGCCCCAGCCCAGGGATTGCAAAGTGACATTCCTCCTGGGCTACCTTGTGGGAGTGTTTCGGCCTGAGTCAAATCAACCCAGGGTTCCTCTATCAGATCCCTTGGCCCATCCCTGGATAGCTTTCCCTCCCCCGCAGTAAGCCTTCCACTACTCTCTTTCTGCAGGAAGGAAACCCCTTTGGCCCATTCTGGGATCAGTTTCGTGTGAGTTTCAATAAGTCGGAGCTTTTTACAGGCATTTCCTTCAGTGCTTCCTACAAAGAACAATGGATCCAGAGGTACTTGGAGGGGGCGGGACTGCTGGGTTTAAGGGAGGGGTTGGGGCTCACAGGCTTCAGCACCTTCATGGCCCTCTTTCCGCACCCCCCACCCCCATGTATGAGACCAAAGGTACGGGCGCTCTGTCTGTTGAACTTGGGACCCTATGTGATCTGTTCCCATCTCAACACCTGACACGGTGGGACGTTGACCTGCCACGAGGTTGAGCAACACTTTATCGGCTGATAAGGAATGTCATAAAAAGAACATTGTGCAGTCACATGAATCTCAATTTCCTCCTCTAGGCGTGAGAATCACTCCCCTGCTACCTTCCTCTTCACAAGGTGAAAACTGGAACCAGCTTCTAGAGAGGAACAGCTTCAGGTGCAGATTGAGAAATGATGTCATCCTCATAATTATTGGATGTGCTTTATTAATTGCACTCCTGTAGGCCCTGTTAAAAAAAAAAATAGGTCACCAGGGCATGGGCACAGGCTGTGAAATATTTATAGAGCGTCTGTCATGTGTGAGACATGGTACTCAGAGGCCAAAGGTGATCTGTGAAAATGAGGAAGACCTGGCCTCAGTCTTCAGGGACCTATGGTCTAGTTATAGTGACAATAACTAACATAGCATACTTACCCTCGATGCTATAGCATGACAGGAAAGATCATGGGCTGAGAAGTCAGACTTGGGTTCGGAAGTATGAGGAACATGAATTCATGTGTGGTCATAGCACTTGGCATTTAGGAGGCCAAAGGTAGACTGATAAAGAGAAACCAGCACAGATTCAGAAGTAAGACATCCCCAAGCCCTGGCCCAGCTCTGGCTTGCTCTTAGGTGCCTCTGAGCATGCTCTCAGGCCAAGCATCTTCCTTGGTTTGATGGAAAGAGCACTCCTACTGCACAAAGCGCATGCACATAGTAAGCAGCCAGCCAATGTTAGCTGTCACTATTATTATCCACATGGCTACATTTTATTTAAGGCTTTGAGAAATTTTATGAAATGGATGTTATTGTCAATTCCTATTTTACAGGTGAAGAAACTGAGTTCAGTGAAGTTAAATAACTTGCCCAAGGTCATAGAGCTGTTGAGTGGGCAGCTGAGACCTGTATATGAATCTTTAACAAATAATAAGAGCTAATATATATTTAGTGGGTACTATGTGCCAGATACTCTTCTACATTGTCCCAGGTATTAACTCATTTAATTGTTCCACAAATCTGTAGGATAGATGTAATTGTCATCTTTGCTTTACGCATAGAGAAATTGGAGCAGAGAGCAGTGAAGTCACTTGCCCAAGGTCATGAAGCTTGAAGTAGCAGAGGTGGAATTTGAACCCAGGCATTCTGACTCCAAAGCACCCATTCTTAATCATCATGGATTAAATAGCTGTGCCTTTAATAGCTAGTTCCTAGTCCTTTCTGGGACTTGTCTTGAGAGCTAGTTTATCAGTTACTGAGGATACTCAGTCATGGAGGTTCAAATCTCCTTCATTGTTGATCCCAGTTAGGCCATGCCCATTTCTCCACCTGCTTGGTTCTCCCCATTCACCTCCAAATGACATGGAGCTACTGCCAGAAGGCAGAGCTGCCCTCAAAGGATGAAGATTTGCCCCTATTGACAATATGTCAGGAAAAAAGAAAAAATGCCTCTAACTCTAAAAGTAGCTCCAAAAGCAAATTTCAAAAAGCCAGAAAAAGCACACAATCCTTATAGGAAGGCAAGGGACAACGCCACATGGATGCTTCAGTTGGGGAATATTGCTGAAACATTTGTTCATTGCTTCATAGCCTTGTTTGAGTTCACTGAGTTGTAAGAATTGCATAGGCTTTGAGGAAGCTTGTGCTTTACAGCTGAACTTTTGGGAGAGGAAAACTAGTAGGGAAGAGGAGGTCCCTGGAGGGAACTTGAGGGAGTTAGGGGCCCCTGGGCACCAGCCTACCTTCCTTTATATATTTAAGAAGCACTTCCTGAGTGTCAAGGACTGGTCTGGATGCTGAGGATACAGGCAAAAATAAGAGTTGAGCACAGTGGCTCATACCTATAATCCTAGCACTCTGGGAGGCTGAGACAGGAGGATTGCTTGAGGTCAGGAGTTCAAAATCAGCCTGAGCAAGACCCTGTCTCTACAAAAAACCAGAAAAATTAGCCAGGTATACTGGTGCACGCCTATGGTCCCAGCTACTGGGAAGGCTGAGGCAGGAGGAGGATCACTTGAGCCCAGGAATTTGAGGTTGCAGTGAGCTGTGATGATGCCATGGCACTCTAGCCCAGGGGACAGAGCAAGACCCTGTGACAAAAAAAAAAAAAAAAAAAAGGCAGATGAGGATCCTGTCCTGGTCAAGCTCATAGTCTAATGGGGAGATAGTGAATAAACATAGGATAGTTCCAGAATGACATAGTGCTGTGAAGAATACATGCAGGTGATCTGTGATTGATGGGGCTGATACCTAAACGATGAGAAAGAGCTAGCAGTGTCAAAAACTGGCAGGAAGGTGGGTCACAGAGGGAATGTCAGGAGCACAGGCTATGATGCAGGAACATACCACTCCAAAACTTAGTAGGGTGGCAACAACTTTTTATTATTTCCCATGGTTTGAAGGGTTAACTGGACTTAGCTGGGCAGCTGTTTTGTATTTTCTTTTCCATTTTCTTTATGGAATCCCAACTGTACAAAGTTTAAGTCCAGGTTAAACATCTCTTTTCTTGGAATGAATATAGACTCTATTCTTGGGATAAACAGCCACAGATTTGGTGGGAGTTTTTTTTTTTAATAAAGAGAAATTTGCTCATAATCCCACTATCCCTCAAAAAAAGTCTTTATTAGCATTTTGATATGTATACTTGCATCCTCCACACTTTCTTTTTATTCTTTTCCTTTTTTTTTTTGAGACAGAGTCTTGCTCTGTCGCCTGGTGGAGTGCTGTGGCATTAGCTTAGCTCACAGCAACCTCATACTCCTGGGCTCAAGGGATCTTCCTGTCTCAGCCTCCCAAATTAGCTGGGACTATAGGCATGTGCCACCACGCCCACCTAATTTATATATATATATATATATATATATATATATATATATATATATATATATATAATTTTTTTTTTTTTTTAGTTGCCCAGCTAAATTTCTTTCTATTTCTTAGTAGAGATGGGGTCTCACTCTTGCTCAGGCTGGTCTTAAACTCCTGAACTCAAGCAATCCTCCCACCTTGGCCTCCCAGAGTACTAGGATTACAGGCGTGAGCCACCAGGCCTGGCCTTCTTTTGTTTTGTCTTGTCTTGTCTTTTCTTTCTTTTCAAGAAAAGATTCTTTTCTTGACAGGGTATCACTCTGTTGCCCCAGCTAAAGTGCAGTGACATCATCATAGCTCACAGCAACCTCAAACTCCTGGGCTCAAGAAATCTTCCTGTCTCAGTCTCCCGAGTAGCTGGGACTACAGGTGCACACCACCATGCCCGGCTAATTTTTTTGTTTTTAGTAGGCATGGGAGTCTCACTCTTGCTCAGGTTGGTCTTGAACTCGTGCCTTAAGCAATCCTCCTGCCTTGGCCTCTCAGAGGGCTAGAATTACAGTTATGAGTCACCTCACCTACCTTTGACAGTTTTAAGGAGTGCTGATCAGGTATCCTGTAAACAGTCCCTTAGCTGGGATTTGTGACCTGTTTTTTGCATGATTTGACTGAGGTTATGGGTTTTGGGGAAGAAAGTCAAAGTTACAGTGCCATTCCCATATTTTCACATCATATCATAATGAGTATTGTCAGCATGATTTAGCACTGTTTTGGGAGGGTTATTTATTTTTAATTATTCATGTGTAATAGTTATATATCTTTATTGGGTACATATGATGTTTTGATACAGGCATATAGTGTGTATTAATCAAATCAGGGTAATTGGGATATCCATTCCATCACCTCAGGCATTTATTATTTCTTTATGTTAGGAACATTCCAATTCTACCCTTTTATTTATTTTATAGTATATTCTAACTTATTGTTGACTGTAGTCACTTTGTTGTGCTATCAAATATTGTTCATTCTATCTAACTGTCTAACTATATTTTTGCATCCATTAACCATCCCTACTTTATCCTCCCTACTCGCTACCCTTCCCAGCCTCTGGTAACCATCATTCTACTGTCTATCTCCATGATATCAATTGTTTTTAATATTTAGCTCCCACTATGAGTAAGAACATATGAGACGACTTGTCTTTCTGTGCTTGGCTTATTTCATTTAACATTGTGTTCTCCAGTTCCATCCATGTTGTTGCAAATGGCAGGATTTCATTTTTTATGTCTACATAATATTCCATTGTGTATATGTACCACAATTTCTTTCTTTTTTTTTTTTTTTGAGACAGAGTCTCACTCTGTTGCCCAGGCTAGAGTGAGTGCCATGGTGTCAGCCTAGCTCACAGCAACCTCAATCTCCTGTGCTCAAGCAATCCTCCTGCCTTAGCCTCCCGAGTAGCTGGGACTACAGGCATGTGCCACCATGCCCGGCTAATATTTTCTATATATATTAGTTGGCCAATTAATTTCCTTCTATTTATAGTAGAGACAGGGTCTGACTCTTGCTCAGGTTGGTTTTGAACTCCTGACCTGGAGCAATCCGCCCGCCTCAGCCTCCCTGAGTGCTAGGATTACAGGCGTGAGCCACCGCGCCCGGCCTGTACCACAAATTTCTTTATCCATTCATCCATTGATGGACACTTAGGTTAATTCCAGATATTGTGAATAGTGATGCAGTAAACCGAAGTGCAGATATGTTTTCGATATACTGAATTCCCTTCTTTTGGATATACATCTCTTGCTTTCCTTTTAAAATCCTTTGAGAGAGCATCTGGCCCATAGTAGGTGTGCAGATAATATTAACTTCTTCTTTCTCTAACCCCTGACAACCTGATCTGGTCTTTCTGGTGAGATTCCCGAATTCCTCTCATTCATTCCGAAAATGTTTATTGTATCTCCTGTGTGTGTTAAGGCCTATGCTAGGGGCTAGGAATCAAAAGAATAAGCCACAGCTTTTGAGATGCTTATTGACTGGGGTAGGGAGATGGCAGTGAAGTGTAGTAATTAAGAACATAGATTCTGGAGCACACTGCCTGGACTCAAACACCAGTTCCTAGCTGTGTGACCTTGGGCATGTTACTTTACATGTCTGTGCCTCAGTTTCCTCATCTGCAAAATGAGAATAATAGTGACATTTACCTCAAGAGGTCTTGTGGAAATCAAATAAATTATACATAAAGCAGTTGGGGAATTGCCTGTCACATAATAAGGCCCAATGAGCAATGTACATGTATGTACATAAAACCAGAAAATTAAGAGTTTGGCAAGATGATTGTCATACAGTGCCAGGCCATCAAGGAACACTTGCTTGCTGGTTCCTTGGCATAGGCCTTGGACCAGCGTGTGTGGGAATAATGGTAAACAGGCCACAAGGGTCTGTACCCTCACCAGCTGACAGTCCCATGAGCAGGGAGGCTGGCTGCCGAGCACAACAGTGTGCAGAGGGCGGCAAAGAAGTGGGACAGGAGCTGAGGCTTGGGAGTGGCAACCAATTTTGGAGGTTTGGGAGGTGTTTGCTGAGCAAGATGTCTGGGGTGGGTGTGGAGAATGCGTGGCATGTCTGTTGCCGCGCTGCTGTGTGAGGGGAAGATCGGAACGACCTCACCGTCCAGCAGGGGAATAGATAAGCGAACTGCTGTTTATTTGTGCAACTTCGAGAGAAGCTAACACAACCAAGTAACATGACCAAATCTCTAAAACAGAAAGTTGAATTTTTAAAAAGTTGACCTAGGTTACGTGCAATAGGATGAAGATGATGATAGCCAGAATTTTCTGAGAGCTTTCTTTGTGCCAAGCGCTGTTCTAAATGCTTTGCTTTTATTAATCCTCTCAACAGCCCAATGAATGAACTTATTAATTAGCCTGAATGCACTAATCATTTAACTGTGTACATGTATATCAAAACATAATGTCCATCTTAAATGTATATAATTTTTAAAAACTGTCAGTCACAACCAGGATATTGACATTGATACAATTCACCCATCTTTAGATTTCTTCACTTTTCCTTGTATTTCTATGTATGTGTATGTGTTTGTATTAATATTTGTGTTTAGTTCTGTTCACTATTATCTTGTGTGGCTTTCAAAATGAAAACATTTCAAAAATGTTATTATAGAAATGGAGTCATACACTATGTACATTTTTAGGATTGGCTTTTTTTTTTTTTGAGACAGAGTCTTGCTTTGTTGCCCAGGCTAGAGTGAGTGCCGTGACATCAGCCTAGCTCACAGCAACCTCAAACTCCTGTGCTCAAGCAATCCTGCTGCCTCAGCCTCCCTAGTAGCTGGGACTACAGGCATGCACCACCATGCCCGGCTAATTTTTTCTCTATATATTAGTTGGCCAATTAATTTCTTTCTATTTATAGTAGAGACAGGGTCTGACTCTTGCTCAGGCTGGTTTCGAACTCCTGACCTCGAGTAATCCGCCCGCCTCGGCCTCCCAGAGTGCTAGGATTACAAGCATGAGCCACCGCGCCCGGCCTGGATTGGCTTTTTTCACACAGGATAATTGCTTTGAGATCCAACGAAGTTGTTGTCTGCATTGATAATTTATTCCCTGTTTTGCTTCATATCCCATGGTGTGGATGTACCATAGTTTGTTTAGCTATTTATAATACTTGTTGAGCAGCATCTGAACTGTTTCCAGTTTGGGGCTATTATAAATAAAGCTACTATGAACATTTGTGTACAAGTGTGTATGTAAACATAAGTTTTCATTTCCCTGGGATAAATGGCCAAGAATACAATTGCTCGGTCATATGATAATTGCATGTCTAGTTTTATAAGAACCTAACTGCCAAACTGTTTTCCAGAATGCCTATTTCATAACTTTGGCTGGCAGAGGGCAAGTATTCCAGGTGGAGGGAAGAAGTGTGCAGAGATCTGGAGTTTGAAAATGCATTGCAAGTTTATGGAACAGCAAGATATTTCATGTTGCTGACATATAGTCTGGGTTTAGCTGAAGAGGGAACACAGGTTTGTTCCTCATTCATTCAGCCAACAAATATTTACTGAGCT